CAGAATTAGGGATGCACCGATACCAGTTTTCCGGTATCGAGTACGAGTACTGATATTTATATTTCGGTACTCGCCGATTCCGAGTACAGGTACTTCCGGTAGCATAGAGCTGGCTTCCCAGGGGAGCCAGGCGGCGTGTCATTACCCAGTGCCCGGCTTCTTGATCGACTCGATCAGCATTGAGCCGTCCAAACAGCATGGAGCCAGCTTCCCGGCTCCATTTTCCCTTGCGGCACTGCCAGTCAGAGGAAATCTACCTCTGACCAGAAGTTCCAGTATCGGAAAGGTATCAGAGTATTTGGGTGAGTACGAGTACTTGCCCAAATACTCGGTATCGGCACCGATACTAGTTATCGTTATCAGTGCATCCCTAACGGATACCAGTTTTTCGATATCGAGTACGAGTACCGATATTTTGCTTCTGGTACTCGCCGATACCGGTGCTTTTGCTGGAATGGAGTCCGCTTCTCGGGCAGTCGGGAAACCAGGCGGGATGTAATGACATGCTGCCCAGGTTCCTGGTTGCCTGGGAAGCCGACTCCATGTTTTTTGGCCGGCTCTATTGTGAATGGCCGGTGAAACCGGCTTCCCAGCCAGTCAGCATGGAGCCAGCTTCCCAGCCAATCGGGAAGCAAGGAGGTGTGGCATTACTCGCCACCCGGCTTCCTGATTGTCCAGGAAGCCAGCTCCATGTTCCCCTATGGCACTGCCGGTCAGGGGAAATTTTCCTATGACCGGATGTTCCGGTATCGGGGAAGGTATCGGAGCATTTCAGCGAGTACGAGTACTTGCCCAAATACTCGGTATCGGCACCGATACTAGTATCGGTATCTATGCATCCTTAGAATAGAAGTAGAACTGAAGTCAATTTTTTTTCTTTTTTAGATAGAGTAAGGGAGGGTTATATCCCAAGTCAGCTTTTTTTTTTTGCCATCTGTGACCCATTGGGAGATTTCCCGTCACTTCCTATTCGATAGCCTCAACAGGAAGTGAGAGGAAATTCATCTAAAGCAGGGGTGGGCAACTTTGGCCCTCCAGCTGTTGTGGAACTACAAGTTCCATGAGGCATTGCAAGACTGACAGTTACAGGCATAAGGCAGAGGCATGTTGGGATGTGTAGTTAAAGCACAGCTGGAGGGCCGGAGTTGCCCACCCCTGTTCTAAAGTGAGTGAAATCCATTGTGGTTACCAGAACTATTGTCCCCATTGGAAGATTTCCCTTCTATTCCTGTTCTGATGACAACCAAAAATGTGGGATTTTCTTCCACATTAAATGATCGCACAACTTTTATCCAAGATTCACACATTTTCCTTATTGGAGTGAGTTTGGAAAATGTTTGAAAGTGTGATTCTTGAGTGAAAAACATTGAGTAGACCCCATTACTTAAAGGACATCTCCCCAATTATAACTTCATCTCTGGATCAGGAGTAGGGGAGTTTAATGATGTGAAATATACTTTCCTCCATGTGTCAGATCCACAGATCTTCAATGATCCAGATCTATACAGTTTTCGAATGTAAAATGGCCGATAAAGGTTGTTTTATTTTGAATGATCCTTTTTCCCATTTAGTTGAATCCGTGGCCTGAGTACATCAACCAGAGACTGGAGATCTATAACAAACTAAAAGCGGAGCATGACGCCCTTCTGGCAGAGAGGGCCGCAAAGAACAGCAAGCCCATAAAGGTGACTTTACCGGATGGGAAGCAAGTGGATGCAGAGTCCTGGAAGACCACCCCATACCAAATAGCTGCTGGCATCAGGTAAGGAGCGTCTGCCATTCAGAACGTCTTTTTTGTTGTGCCATTTTTTTTTTTTTTTTCTTGTTGAAATAAATATTTTTTTTTTTTTTTACTGATTGACATAAATCCAGAAATTTGAAAGGACTCTGGGGAAACGTTATTCTTAATCCTTGCAGGGGGGCTACCCCCCTGTACTGCAAGGGTTAATTGCTCGTTTTCATCTAGGGTGCAAAATAACAATTATACTCACCCGATCCTCGCAGCTGGCTGGTTGTTGGAGCGCAATACGTGACGTGATGACTTAAGGGACCTTAGACCTCTGGAGCGGAGGGGGAGAGAGGCTGGAAGGACCAATCTAACAGCCAGCCAGCTCTGAGGTTCAGGCGAGTATAACTTTTTGACAGAAAACGAACACTTAAAGGAGAATTATGAGGCGAGTGATTTTCACTCAGCCTCATAATCTGAGCCAACCTGTGACAATGAAACTGTCACAGGTCGGCTCAGTAGATCGGGAAGTGAGCGAACACATAACGGCGCTCGCTCACTTCTCGATCTATCCCTGCAGAGACCCGTAAATGTCACTCACGGCCCCAGGGATTCCCACCCGCTCCGATCCTCCATCTATGACTGGCGGAACGGGAGGGGGGGGGGTCACAGCTGCCAATCCCACAGATGGGTGGATCTCGACAACAATGTCTGGATCTGTCACGGCTGCGGTGTCTCAGTATACCGTGAGCTGTAGCTGGCGGTATACTGAGCTTTGGGTCACGGGGGAACTCTAGTTTGTGTTCTCCCGTGACCCTTAGGAGAACTATGGGGAAAAGCCCTGACCCCATAGTTCTCCTTTTTAATCCTCGCAGTAGCCCCACTGCAAAGGTTAAGAATACATTTTCCAAATTTCTTCTTTAATATCTGAGTTTAACTGTAATCTAGGGATACAACTCAGAAATTATTTTCATCGATTAGTTGGCTGAAAAAAAAAATATATACCATCCTTTTTATTACATCCATCCTTTTTATTACAGGTATTTATACAATTTTACACAGCTCTTTACATCACATTCACATCAGTCCCTGCCCTCGAGGAGCTTACAATCCGAGGCACCTATCTCGCATGCATACGTGCAGGGACACTTTAGACTGTAGCCAATTAGCCTTCCAGCATGTCTTTGGAGTGTGGGAGGAAACCGGAGTACCCGGAGGAAACCCACGCAAGCACAGGGAGAACATGCAAACTCCTTTGCAGATAGTGACCTGGCCAGGATTCAAACCAGGGAGCCCCAGTGCTGCAAGGCAGAAGCGCTAACCATTAATCCAGTGTGCTTAATTTAAAATAAAATACACAAATGCCGTGTTACAAACATGAAGTTTTTACTTCAGAATAAAACTGCATGCACAGTTTTTTTTTCAATCGCACCGCACTGGAATGCACAGCATTGTGCTACTGAGTGTTCTGATGCGGGCGGGAGGCACGTTTGGGATGCCATTGAAATGAATGCCACCGCAATGCATCTCCTGCACCAAAATTTGTCGGGCTGAAACCAAAAATTACTTTTTCCCACCTTTTTTTTTAAATTTATTTTTTATAATTTGGGGGGAAAGCGGCTTCATTTCTTAACTTCTTTTTTAATATATTTGTAATTTTTTTTTTCACTTTATTGTTAGGGGCTTTGGGGAAAAATCAGGGGTCTGTCTAGACCCCCTGATATATCCCTTTCAAATTAGAAAAAGAGATTGAGAACACAGAGTCCTCAATCTCATTTTCTGCAGCCCCAGTACTCCATGAACTGGAAGTACACAGGATTCCTGTTCATTTATAAATTGAGAAGATCGTATCTGTTTACAATGTCCACAAGGAAGTGATGTAGAGCACTTCCTGTTTGTCCATTATTGGGGACACAATATCTGAATACTATGTCCTTGGTTATTTACAAACATCGTAGTAATCAGTACTGATCGCTGTGAAGATCGTCCCGCAGCTTCCCCCCGCACTGCCACGCTCGCCTCCTGACCGCTCTCCTTTACACTAAGCGGCCTTTTTTTTTTTTTTGTGAACAGGACACACTGAAAACAACTGTTTTTATAATGTGATCTGTCCACACCATACGTGTGCTGCATTTTTCTGCACACCACCGCCCGACGGATATAGTGTGATCAAGCCCTGGAGGGTAAGGGCTCATTCACATCATGTCCGTTTAGCTGCGTTGACCTGCATTGATCAAGGGTAGGCAACCTTGGCATTCCAGCTGTAGGGAAACGACAACTGTCAATATGCCTCTGACAGTCATGCCTGTAGCTGTCAGCCTTGCAATGCCTCATGGGATATGTAGTTCTACAGCAGCTTGAGTTGAGGCTGCCTGCTCCTTGTGTAGATCAACGAAGGCTCAACGTCCGGGCACACAGAAAAAACTACAATGATATGGGGAGGTGTATTAACTGAAAACACTGCGGGTCACTGCACTGCAATGTGCATAAAGCTGAATGAAGTGTCATTTCTTGACACTTCAATAAAGTTTTAAAAAAAAGGAGAAAAATGCGAAGTGTTATACATTGTAACAATACATTGCACTTTCCATTGTTGCCGCTACACATTTCATGGCAATCGTTTTTTAGCATGTGCGTTGCTGTGAACAATCCCTAAGGCGCGTTGCGGTGACTGATATTGTTCTGCAGCAGATCGCCATTCACCCCAAGGGCACAAAAGGGCACATACAAAACGCTAAAATGAAACATTTTAGCAGACAGGTATGTGTGACTGTACCCTAAATGAGAACAGAGCTCGGAGGGAAGATAGAAAACCTAATTGCTGGGATCCCCAAGACCTAAATTATGCCACTTAGCTGGAGCCAGCAGACTCCACTTGAAACCAAAATATCACTTTAGTGGACAAACCTTTTAAAAGCCGATAAAAATGACATATAAAACGGCCACAGTGAGAGCCCTCTGCTGACCTATTAATTTTGTATTGCAGCCAAGGCCTTGCTGATAACACAGTTGTCGCAAAGGTGAATAATGTGGTTTGGGACCTGGATCGCCCTTTGGAAGAGGACAGTTCATTGGCACTGCTGAAATTTGATGATGAAGAGGCCCAGGCGGTAAATATAAAGTTATACTTCCCTGGAAAGCAGAGCCGGCTCGCTCTCAGGCTGGTCCTTGCAGCCTCTCTCCCATTCCCCTGCAGTGGTCTATGGTCACGTAAATTCTCCGGTCTCTGAAGCCCGTCTCTTCCTACGCTGCAGCTTTGGAATATTTCTCCGCGTCCTCATGTCTATACACTGTGTATTGAATGTGATGATTTACAGGACCATAGACCACTGCAGCGGAGGGGAAGAGGGGCTGGAAGGGCCAGTTTAAGAGCAAGCCGGCTCTGCTGTCCAGGTGAGTATAACTTTTTTTTTTTAGCACCTAGACAAAAATGATCAGTTAACCCTTGCGGTGCGGGAGTAGCCCCACCGCATGGGTTAATACAAGTTTTTTGCCTGGCGTTCTTTAAAATCATAGCAACTTTTGAAGGACATTCCTCAAATCTCGAATTACATTATCGAATGTTCAGATGAGATTTTTCATTTGATCGTTCTTTTAAAATTCTACCGGTGTATGGCCAGCTTTACTCAATTAAAGTGACATTTTTAACATAAAACAATACTGTAATGTGTGCCTTACTGTAATCCATGGTTGTTTCCCTTCTCTTTGCTGCTCTTCCTTTTAAATCCTCATGTCTTCTCATGCTTGGGGAGAACTTCCCCTTTCAGCTCAGGGCCTCTTCCTGTAGTGCTGGCTCAGGTTTCAAGCCTATACAAATCTATACACAGACACCGTGTATCCATTCCTAAGACAAGGCAGTCTGCTGCAAAACAGAAGTTCTGCCCAGCATGAGAACAGATACAAATTTAAAAGGAAGAGCATCAAAGAGAAGGGAAACAACCATGGATTACAGTAAGGCACACATTACAGTATTGTTTTATGTTAAAAAATCTGAGGGTTTAATGTCACTTTAAGCTAACTGTACACTTCGTAACATTTGAGCTGTGGGTGGACCTGTTAGCACCACATGGCTTGACAAAGTCAGTTTTTCAATCGACTTTTGTGGAAGGATCCATTTGGAAGCGGTGACTGCAGCCAGTCAGATGTAGTCACTGTGTATAGTTTAGCGTGGTTGGGGGAATAGATTGATTTCCCTCATGCAGCCCTCAAGCCTGAAAAATAGAAATCTTAAAGTGTATGGCCAGCTTTAGTCACAGGCTGGCAGAAACATAAAGATAGTGCTGAACTTTTTGTCAGAAATTCAAGCTTGCTTTGTAAATTGAGTTCACTGTGCGATCATTTGTAATACCAAGATTTTATTATTATTTAAGGAAATTAAATAAGTTATTTAGGTTTCTAAATAAAAAAAAAAAAAAATTAGTAAGTGCCCAAAAAACGATTCTGTTTTTCCGTGAAATATCTCTTCTAATTATTTTCCTGTAACCAGCATCTCTCATTGTACAGGTATACTGGCATTCCAGCGCGCACATTATGGGAGAAGCTATGGAACGGGTGTATGGTGGATGCTTATGCTACGGGCCTCCTATTGAAAATGGGTTTTATTATGACATGTTTCTGGATGAGGGGTAAGAGCACTCGAATATTTTTCTTTATAGATCAGGGAATAACCTGTTTACTCTTTTTTTTTTGCTTGGCCTATCAAAGGTTTGCATTTATCTGCATAGCAGGTTACACCCCCTTTTCATCTGCCTATAGGATTTAGCACAAATTAGTTAGACCAGTATATTAGTATGTTAAAGGGTATCTGACATCAAGCTGCCTACCTGTGTGAGAAGCATTAGATGGACCCATACAAACAGAAGAAAAGCTGGCCGCACACTGCATTCCGCTCCCATAATTTACTGAAACTTGTACCACATCACTGGTGTCCCGCTCTAGGTCTGCCCTGGCTGACACGTTTCACCCAATCATGGACTTGGGGGGTTATTCAAAAAACTGCCAAAGACAGCCGAATGAATAACCGAACAGAAGTGAAGGGAGCCGAAGCCTGTTCAGCTATTCACTGCAGCCCTGTACTGCTATATTCCCCTTTGGTTCGGCCGAACAGCCTCAGCGCGTTCAGACAAACTGAAGGGAAGAACCCGTTCACCCCAGCCAATGCAACATTGGATCGACTGAGGTGAACGTTCGTCAGTTCCTTCTCTGCTGTACGCACTCTTGTGAATAGCACATACAGCAGCCCTTCGGTTCGGCTGGACTGAATTGTTCCTGCCGCGGAAGCGAACCGAAGGATTAGCCAAACGTTCGGCTACATCCTTTGGCTCTTTAGTGATTAACCCCCTTAGTCTAAGAGATGAGGGTGGACCAGGTTAGGCTGTGCTTTATACCATCAAGTGCATGTCATTGCATGGTAACACAAAGGAGACCTGCCTTATGTCCCCTTTAATTGTGTTACCATGTAATGACATGCACATGGCAAACAAACAGGAAGGTATCATACAATATCATACAGTGTCCTGCAAATTCAACAATCCTATTATATACATAAGTACATAAATACATTCATTTATAAATTATATATGCAATATGCCAACCATAGAGCAATTGCCCTATGCATAGTGATGCAGAACAGGAGTTTGTGTATCCTGTATTCTACAACTAGCCTGTAATGAGTGAGAATAGATAGTGATTATTTATATATA